TGTTTACAATAATTTTGATACCATTTCAAACTAAATATCCAACACTTTTTTGAGGTTGAATTATTGTTTATAGATAAATTTAAATTATTTTGGATATTTGTTTACAATAATTTTAATATTGTTTCAAACTAAATATCCAACGCCCTTTTCAAGCTGAATTGTTGTTTATGGGTGAGTTCAAAGTACCTTCGATATTTGTTTACAATAATTTTGATACCATTTCGAACAAAATATCCAACACTCATTTCGTGTTGAACTGTTGTTTAGGTGAGTATAAACCACCTTGAATATTTGTTTATAATAATTTTGATACCATTTTCAAACAAAATATCCAACATTCTTTTCAAATTGAATTGTTGTCTATAGGTTAATTTAAACTATCTTAGATATTTGTCTACAATAATTTTAATACCATTTCAAACTAAATATTCAGTACTCTTTTCACACTGAATCGTTGCCTACGTATGAGTTTAGAGTAGCGTGAAGATTGAACAAAGTGTTTGTTTGGCTTATGGGATTTTTTAAGTTCATTTGTTATTAACTATTGATGTCTTGAGTTTTTGTATCCATTAGTAGCTGTGTGCATATTTGTTTAGTAACTCTTTCTCGTGTAAAGATCAAGCATTAGATTCAAGTGTTAAATTTATTAGTAAACAAGTATTATTGTGTAAATTAAATTTAAGATTTAAATATTGATATTAATATTTAAAAATATTAAAAATTTTAAATACATTAAGTTAATATATTGAGTATACATTTAAAATTATCTAATAATAAATTATTTCAAAATGCACAAAAACTAACTAAGAGACAACTAGACTATAAATATCCAAAAAATAGTGTTCAGATTTGAGTGCAGTTATCCTCTATTAAATAAATTTTATTTTTACTGATAAAAAGGAAAAAGAAAAAAGAAAAAAGAGAAAGAGAAAGGGAAGTCTCCTTTTTGCTCTGGGTTGGAGCTCTGGTCGTTGCATGCTCTTTAAAGTTACAATGGAGCCCAAGCTGAGCTGTAAAAGTTTTCAAAACTATTAG